AACAACAACAACAACAACTGCATTGGAGATAATGCAATTATAAGCCCTATCAAATTAGCAATAGCAGTGTGAAAGATTAGATAGGATCCTTAGAGAGCAAGGAGCTTTTATCGATGGAGGCTGGGTTGGGGTGGTGTTGGGCGGAATGGCTCAGAAAATGAAAATGAGAGTGGGTGCAGGGCTCAAGGAATGTAATCAATGTCACTAAAATGGTATGTGAAAATTGCAGAATTGGTGTATGGTTTGTGCTATATATTTTAACAATGACAGTTACAACTATAAAAGAAATAAAATTATGAAAGAAAACTCTTTGAGGCATCGTTATACTCTGACACAAGTGAGGTTACAACAGAGGCATTACTGGGAGGAGGGGCTGGGAACCTGGACTTAACCAGGTGATACTGTCAAAGGAGGTGACACCAAAAGAGCTGTCTATTAAATTTCTGTGCCGTATTTAAGCATAAATTTAGATTTTTAATGACAAATATCTCTGTACATAAGTATAACAACAAAAGCATTTTCCATAAGCATAGCTTATATGTATCGATTCTCCAATAAGTAAAAAACTCTATGCTAATTTACTTTAGCTTAGTGCTAAGGAATTGTGCTGCCAACCCAAAAGCACATGGTTCAAACCCATCAGCTACTCTGTGGGAGAAAGACAGGAAATCTCCTCCCATGCCATTTACTGCCTATGAAAGCTCACTGGAGGGTCAGCTACAGGGCAGTTCCGACTCGACGGGACACAATGGCCGTGTGCTCTGGCTAATTACTCAGTCACAGTGGCGCTTCACATAACACAGTTTCATCTGTGTGGATCACTGAGTGCCTTGATCACTTTCGGGTCCCAGGAACTTAGAGTCTAAAGCTATAACTTTGACATTGCCCTGGGCTGCTTGTTTTGAAATATTTGTTTATTCCAGTTTGACAGGAAGCACATATTAGAAAGTAACAAAGAGAGCAGATGGCTGGCATTATGCAGCAGGAAAAATATGCAGGCTGACCCGATGGTCCACTAGGGAGGAGGGCGGCGGGACCTGCGTGCTCAGCACTGGAGTGACATTCACTTCCTCCTCTCCCACCGCAGCCAACCAACACGACTGTCCTTCCCCAGTGAATTTCCAAGGGGATCTTCCTTTCTTGGGTACACCATTGGGATCATTGGTATTTTTTAATTTCTAAAACAGCGTCAACCCAAATCAAATTCTGTCACTTCAATTCTGATTCATAGCACCTCTGTAGAACACAGTAGGGTTTTTAAAGGCTGGGGTTGGGGAGAGACTGAGTAAGATGGGTTCAATAATGTATACTGCACTGAAACAGAGGAGGGAGAAAACTGTTTAAAAGAGATATATAACT